TCATTTGGATTTGCATAGCTATATAATATCTATGAAACTCAACATTAAGAAAACTAATATCATGGCATCCGGGCCTGGCACCAAAGAATTGAGGCCTTTGAACTATGGTGCTGGAGAAGACTCCTGTGAGTCCCTGGGACTGCAAGGCGATCAAACCAGTCAGTCTTAGAGGAGATCAATTCTGACTGTTCTTTAGAAGGCCAGATCCTGAGATGAAACTCAAATACTTTGGCCACCTAATGAGGCCCAGCAAGCCAGCAATGGATATTATCTGTTGTTGTTTCTTCCTTCATCTGTTAGGCCTATTGTCCCATTAACATAAGTTTGCATGAGATCCATGTTCTTGCAACAATATGCTGATTTGAATTAGTTATGTAAAATGATTACATAATAGCAAAAAGAAACAAATCACTTTCACCTATTCATAAGAGATCCACATGCCTAAAATAAATGTATTATTTCAGGAACATCCTTTTCCTTGTTTTTATCAATAATGAGTTAAAATCAGTTTAAAGATTCTTATTCCAAATCCAGAAAGCATATCAGTTTTTAAATGGAAGCAAGAGGGAGTTTATGAATGAAAACTAAAGAAACCTCAAAACTCTTTCAGAGGGAGCACAATGTTGTGTCTTTGGTCATTATATATCTTACAACTCTAAAAAGACACTGAAGGTACAAAAAGCCATAGATAAGAGAGATGGATAGAATACTGGGACTTAAAGTTGGTTATTGATTTGATAGCAGTTGTATGACAGAATATTTTTTATTAAAAAAAGATAGGCTTAGTGACTAACCAGATACAAATTCTGCCATACTGGAAAAAATGCTTGTGAAATAGTATTTTTGAAAATGATCTACAAACTTTAGAAATAAAAAAACAGCATAGCAATGTTACTAACCAGGATTTATAGATATGAATATGCTTATGATATTCCAGTGCTTCATTAGTTACATGATATCTGTGCTAGATCTGTGCAAAATTTTATTGCATTTGGGTTTTTAAAATCTTATTGCATTTGGTTTTTTAAAATGGTAGGGCAGAAAACATTAAAAATTAGGTTATTTCTGTGCTGGCAGATATAAACCTAATCTCTTTTGGTCATCTGCAAAAACCTATCTTCAGGCATTGAAAAATGTAATTAATAAAATTAGGCGGAATGGTGCAAAATGGGGGATCTTTTTACTTATAGTACTCTATTTATGGACCCCCTTTGGAGGTTTGATGCTTTTATTTTCTCATGTTAGTACTACTCAGAGATATTAGAGCCTAGATTATCACAACTATTTTTATATATTTTCTATTGTATGCTGCTTATTGACATTTTTATTTCACAATTACAGTGATTTACATTCCTAGTTTTATGAATCTGCATAGGGACACATTGTTATTTATTTATAAAATATATTATCTTCCCTAATCCCAAAGGACTCTAGGGTCTATATTTTCTATATTCATTTGTAGAATACACACATAACTCTTCTTGAAGTATAATCATTTGTTGGCTAGCATATTTATTTGTGAATTGTCCAGTTGTCTCTTTTTTCCAAGTTTAGAGTGATGTATGAGAAGCCTTATAATAATGTTGGCTGAGTCTGAGTGAAATTTAAAAAGTTATGGGTGATTTAATATTTTGACTGCTTGACAATTCTGAAAAAGTTATATTATCTAACAGGAATTGGCCTTCTATTATAATGCAAATTATAACTAAGCTCCAAAAATGCTTAAATATTATTGCAACAGCTTGGTAATGCAGATGCAGTTTATAAGATACAAATCAGTTATTAGTTATGTCCTATCATTAAGCCTAGCTTCCATAGTCAATATATAACCATTAGCTACAGAATTACTGTAGTTCAATGCATATTTTGCAAAATGTCTCAGGCCTGGTCCTGGATGACATTATTTAAACAAATCATGACCAAGAACTAGAATACATGACCGTGTAGAAAGACATGGCCAACAAATATAAAGAAAAGGATTATCCAGTAGATATCAAAATGGCTTGGTTTATTCCTCACAACAAACTAAAACATTATTTTGGTTTTGATTTTCCATGTTCTGTGAACCTGGCCAATTACCCTTTATTCAATAAACCATGATTAAACTATCCATGATTTAGTGCAATATGTAAATTATGTCTGATTTCATATAAAACACTTTCTGTGTTATGATATTTCAAATATGAAATACCCTAGAATACAGTAGTCTTGAAGCCAAAGACTTGTGATCAATCATTTAGTTATTAAATCACATAAACATATGCACAAAAAATATAGAGACACAAGCATTTAATTAAATCTACAATTCATTCTAGATGAGTGAGAGAGAAGCAGAATATTTTAATATGGTATTTCTTTAGCTCCTAGATCAGATATAGCTATGTCAAGGTAGCTTTATCATCTCAAGTGCAAACATATTAAATCCATTTCTACAAAAATTCTTTGTGTACTCAGATAATTTTGGAATAGGAAACTAAGCTTTTTCGGTGAAAAAAGAAAGACAATAGTTTCTGTTTCTGTGTTTATACTGCTTTCTGACCAAAAGGATTTGGATCTGTTGTAGAACAGTAATAGAACTGCTTATTCAGAAGCCCAACACTTCCAAAATAAATGAAAATAAAATAAGAAACAGATGGCTTTTAACAAATAATGGACAAAGACTTTATAGTTTAAAACACAAGTTTTATTTAGTGAAATTGACCATTCTGTTTCTCAGGTTGCTTTATTTATTAGTTCCATTTGAAAATAGAGTTGATTCTTCCAAATGGTGTGTTGAAATAGACAAGCTACGCTTGAAAGCACTTCTCACCTAAGAAAGCCTTGAATCACTTCAAGAAAGTTACTGTTCATATTTCTATATTAAAAAGCCACTTCCCAACTTTTAAACAATGTGCGATGGTGATACATTCTTGAACTTTGGGTTGAGATGCATGGAGGTCCTTGCTGATGTGGTTTTGCCTATATTTTTGTATAGATCCATCTTGTTTTGTTTTTATGGTCTATTATATTGTAAGTAACACAGAGTTTAGAATCAGATATTTACACTAAATTAATTTTGAGATTATTGAGCTGAGGCTAAGTCCTAAGAAAGTAGAATCACTATGAATAGGCAGCTACTTTATCCAGGAATTTGTAGAGTGTCCTATAATTGGATGAAATTGTTCTGTCCCTGAAGAGACACATTGAATTCATGGTAGTTCCATTGAAGACAAAACTGTTGTAGCACAAATGGCCTCCATCTCCAAAAGTCCCTCTACCCAATTTCAGCTGACTCAGCAGCCAAAACTACACTTCCATTATGGCCATTTCTGGATAAGGATAACTAAGTACTGTACTGGCAAATCAAGATTGAGTTAATATAACACACTATCCAGAGATTGCTCTGGAAATTGCAAGTGCTGCAAAGAAGTGACAGAGGTATCTATCCGAAATATTTCACGATTGTTCTGAAAGGACTGCAAAGGCTCCACCAATCAAGTGTGGATGGATTTGTTCATCAGGTCTTTGGTTAATCAGTAATTAGTAAAGGTCAATGCCTGGAATGCCCTACCTGACCCTGTTGTTACATCCTCTAACCCCCACTCCTTTAACCTCAAACTAACCACTATTGACCTCACCCCATTCCTAAGAGGTCTGTAAGGGGTGTGCATAAGTGCACCATCGTGCCTACCATCCCTGTCCTATTGTCCCAATTTACCTATTTCCTGTATTCTTACTCATGTTTATACTTATATCTATTACCTTGTTAAGTGATTGACAAATCAAATCAAATCAAATCAAATCAATCAATAAATAAATAAATAAATAATAGTACTGAGGCATGTATTTGCATGGTAATTGAGCCTTATACCTTTATAGGGAGTATGTGGTTTCAAGTGTAAAGATTGTATTGAATTATTCTTTTTCCTGGCAGTCTATGAGGATGGCCTGCCTTAAAAATGTAAAATTGCTCAGCTGTTCATATAACTCAGGATTTGAAACATTATCTCATTCATGGAGCAGTATTCAAATATCATGTCACTGCCTTGCCAGAATAGAATTATCTCACAAATCTGGTGATCAAGAGATGACCTTCAAAGTTCCCCTTCCTTGTAACTTTCATTGGGTGTGGATAAGATGGCCGGCCTTCTTGGGAACTGTATACTTTACAGAAATCTTTCCTGTCCCAGAGGTATCTTCCCAACTCTGAGATGTCTACAAAAATTTTTACAAATACTTGCCTAACTACAAGAGGTAGTGTAATTAGTGAAACAAATACTGCAATATCTGTAGGAAAAATCACGCAAAAAAGCTGTTTTAAGAAGCATATATGAATAGGAATTCTGAAAATAACTGGAAAAAACAATAACAAATTATAAAGTTACAAAAACAAAACATATAAAGTTTTTTATTAATTTTACAGTGTTTTACAATACAATTTTCTTAGAAAATTTAATATTGTCACCAGCTTTATTTATTTATAATTTAGATTTCTAAGACTGCTCAACTCAACAGCAATTCAGGGCAGCCTTAGAATATATTCTGAATATACCACAATACAGTTATTTAATGAACAGTGCTTGTTGCTAGAAAGAAATTAAATTCATTGACAGAAAAATATAATACTGGGATTATAATCCTTGGCATTATGTCCTGCCCTGCAGGAATGTATGCCAGATAAAGAAAGAATACTTACGCACAATATCATACATTCTTACAATTAATCAATACTTGTATGACCTAATTAATATCTACTCAATACTATTTGCAAGGTTATGCAAGACATTTTAAACAATGACCTAGGGGACCTAAAAGGAACTCTAATCAACTTTAACTCAGTTCTAAAGGTATTTCTCGGGTTACGACAGTTCACTTACCAACCATTCAAAATTACAATGCCCCTCCCCAAAGAAGTACTTATGACCCAATCCCGAAGTTATGAAGTTACAACCGACTGCAGAGACACTGCAACATGCCCCTTGCCTGTTCTCCCTCTCCCCCGGCCTGTGGAGAACTAGTGAGGCAAGATGGGGGAAAACAACTATGGGGACCCCAAGGGAGCATGAGATATCTCAGTGAGTTGGGGGAGGCCTTGGTGTTCAGAAGCAGTTGGCATGTTCTAGCACTATCTCCCATGAGATAGTTCAGCTGCACTTAACAACCTATGCATTCGATTAATGAATGCATTGAGGAAAGCAGGGAAACAAACATGATCCAGTCAACGAATCCTTAGGTTACAAATGCAAATGGCAGGATCTATTACATTTGTAACTCAAGGATGACCTGTATTCAAACGTCATTCCTACTGACGTCTGTATATGGATAACATTAAAATCAATTCATGAGTATGCTTGCACTTTATGATGTAATGACTGTTCAGTAAGACATTAGTGGGATCCAACCATGTTTTCCTATTTTAAAAAAGTTCATCTACTAAAATGCAATTTTAAAATTTTCTATAATAATTAACCTGCTAGTATGAGTGTTTGTATATTCAAAGATAATGAAATTCTTTTGTAAAAAGACTTACTTGTAAGGCAGTGAAAAAAATTATGTAAAACTGGCAACATTTCCTAATCTTTTTATATGTTTTTATACCTTGCTTCAGGACTTCTTTTTAGTTTTAAAGTTTTAAACAATGGTACATTCTATATACAAGAGTTATAACTTTTATCACAAATATACTTTTCCAGTTAATGTTAGTGGCATATATAAAACTTAACCGTACTATTTATGTAATCTTTTTTAAAAACAAAATGTGGAACGTTTATGAGTTTTGAATGCACCGCATAGAAATAAATGCTAAGAAAATATAGCAATATTTAACACAGGATTAATATACTTTTCCATCATCATCGCTTCTCAAATGCAATTTTCAATGTTTAACATTTTAAATTGTTTTTCATTAAGATTCTCATGTAGTTAAACACTCTTCTAATCACCAAATAGTATATATCTTCTGTACAACCATATTACACTATTATACAAACTTGAAGCATATCAAAATGAATTTTGTTTCTTGTAAAAATTTGCATTTGATATTATAGAAGCCATTTTCTTGTCTTCAAACCACTGCAAATACTCTGAATGCTTTGCTTCCTGGAGGATTCTGTAAACTGTAAAAAAAATGGTTTGAAAAAAATTAATCTTATCATGTACTCCCATTTTACATAGAATGTCTCTATTAAATTTATATATTTATTGCTAATGTCATTACCAGAAGGATGACCTATAAATATTTGGATAGCATTGTCAAGTTACAAGTTAATTTACTGTATATCTAATGAAAAAAGCAATAGTTATTTCTTTCACTAATTAGAAATAGCTTTTCTAGAATTTTCATTGATTGATCTCACAAAAGCCTATCTATAATTACTATTCTAAGAAGAAGTGCAGTGAGCTCAAGATCTAAGTTTGATATAAATCACAAAGTCAACTTCAGCTCTAAAGACACTCAGAGACAGTCTTATTAAGGAATATTACAGAGTCTTCATATCATTACCATTGAAAGCAAGGTATTGATTCATTCCTATTTAAATGTGCTTTTTGCATATGGCCAATACCATAAAAATATGTAAGTGTGATGAAGGGACATTTATAAGGATTCTATAATGGAAGTATAAAATTTGGAATCTATCTTTTTGGATGCCTAAATTTAGAATTTTCAATTTGAGCTTTGTCATAGTTTTCAGTCAGAGTATATATGAAGGAGACAGGCCACAATAGGATAGGTTAAGGTATATTTGTGTCTTTCTCTGAATGTAATTATCACAAAAGTGAAGATTACCAAAGACTTGCCATAAAAACTTTGTTTTAGCTAGAATTTACATCAGAAGGGTCTTAGTAGGAACAAAACCACACTCTATCCAGAGAACTACATTCATGGTTGATTGAAAGACACTGGATGGCTTTCAGAAATTTAGACTGAATGATTTCCAAGGCAAATTGGCATATTTGCAGATTTGGGAGCTTCACATTAGAAAATTTAAAATCTTGTTTAAATAGTCTGACTGCTGCAGACATATTTTAGTTGCCTTTGTGGCTTATAAATAGAATGATCATAAGGGAGATAAAAAAAAAAATTATGTTGTACTGTGAGTTTGGTAATTTGTTGAATCTAGAGGTAGAAGACAGGATGTAAATAGCTATATTAACTAACTTGATTGATTATAATTAGTTAGTACTTAACTAACTTGATTGATTATAATTAATTTTTCAATTATGAGAATAATCAAAAAGCAGTTTTAAGTAAGTTAGCTAATTTTAAATGAGTAATTTAGTAAATTAGCTAATTAAAACTTTGTGCTTTTGTTTTATTGTAGTTAATTTCTAATTTTCTTCTAAGGCAGAAATGCCCACATTTCTAGTGTTCACACAGACTGACTTGGTAAAGGTTAACTACATTATCTGTATGTAGAGATGGGTGAAAACTAGAGAATAAAATATGATTTTTGTAAGGGTCAATATTATGTCACTATTGTAAATACTGTATTAAACAATAAAAGGAAAACAATACAGCTGCTTTACTTCTTTTAGAATTCCACATAAAAGTATTTTTGTGTAACATTATCAGTTGAAAGTGGCACTGGTGAATGAAGCAGTGGCATCTGCCACAATCTTTGTCAGGGGAAGAGTCAAAAACCACCTCCAAATAAACAGAGGGTTCCTTAGGAAACTGAACAATTTCTCAACCCGGTGATCTGGGATTACACACTGATAAACACTTGAATAATCTGGAAGAAAGCCTACTTGTTCTGCAGTTTAGCTATTCTTCTGGATCATTCATTTGGCAAATTTATGATAGAAAGATTTCATGTAGAATTTGCTAATTGGGCAACATAGGTTGATGGGACGATAATTAACATTATTCTTAATTGTAGATTGCTAAATTAATGGAGTGAGAGCCAGTTTGATGTCGTGACTAAGGCATCAGGCTGGAAACTGTGAGACTATGAATTCTAGTCCTGGTCTTGGGCACAAAGCTAACTGGATGGATTTCAGTTAGTCACTTAGAAATAAGGCAATGAAAAGCACTTCTGAAAAAACTTGTCAAGAAAACTGCAAGGTAGGTCCAAGCAGTCTCCAAGAATCACACAATTGAATCAAATAAAAAAAGAGATAATATAGTAATGCCTTCTCCAGTAATGCAATAAAAAGTACCAGGAGTACTATAAAGGCATGCTTTGTACCTTTCTGAAAAAATGCCATTTTGAAATGAAGCAGTGTACATTCTTCTCTTATCCACTGGCATGACATCTACAAAGCCGCCTTCATTGCGAATTACTCCAGCATGTACTGCTGTTCGGCAGATACTAGACATCTGAGGGAAATACAGAATAGAAAAATTCCCATATTAGAAAGTAGCGTTGACTTACAAATGATTAACTGAATTTATACAGTATCTTGTTTTTCCTAATGTCCTAAGCAATAGGACAGGGGTGTCAAACTCGATTTCATTGAGGGCCACATCAGGGTTGTGTTTGACCTTGGGAAGGACCAAGGGGGTGTGGCCAGTTCAACTCATGTTGGGGGCTCCTGTGATGGCCCAAGCGCTCTGCCAGCAAAAATGGACTCCCAAGCGTTTTTTGGCTGAGACAGCTTCCTGTAACCCTCTGCCAGTGAAAATGGAGTTTGGGAGGGCTGTGGGTAGCCCTTCCAAGCTACGTTTTCACTGGCAGAGTCACTGCGGACCAGTCCTTTCCTGTTTCCAGAGCAGCCCCAGGGGCCAGATCTAAGCACCCAGTGGGTTGGATCCAGCCCCCAGACCTTGAGTTTGACACCCCTGCAATAGGAGGAGAGTTTGGCTGGGAAGGTCACGAATGGCATTCATGTGACCCCAGAATGCTGCAACCATCACAAATACATGCCAGCAGCCAAACTCCTGAATTTTGATCATGTGATCATGAGGATATTGTGATAGCTGTAAGTGGGAGTACCAGATGTAAGTAACTTTTTTCAGTGCTGTTATAATTTTAAGCAGTTACTAAATGAATGGTTGTAAATTGAAGACTATCCGTATATGGATTCCACAAGTATAAAATTATGCTGGGAAGGAAAAGAATCTTCCCCAAATTCCCCAATCTCAGCTAGCCAAAGATTTGAGAACTATCAGCATTTTGAATTCAAATGCTCTTATCAATGAGAAGTTGGCTTATTCACTGTGATTGAAAGATGTTCAGGAAACTGAAAAATACAACATTCTTTAATATTTCATGTAATACCTTCAGTATTCATACATCTCCCCCAAAATGTATAAATACCTTTATGTCTCTGGATATAAATATTGATGTTCAAAATGGTGTGTCGTTCCTTAAATTACAAAAAGATGTATATATATGCCATACAGTTTCTTTCACTTTAGTGTGGCTTCTGTTTTCAGGGAAGAGTGGGAATTGTTGTTTTTTTACATTATTTTATTTATTTGATGACCATATATTTTAAGTTTTTAAAATCACAGAGAAAACATGTTATCATACTTACATCAGAATAAATTATAGTTCCAATCACTCGGGCGTAATGTGGATTTGCCTGCATACAGTTATGAGGACAGTGGACCCTTTAAAAATTGGGAGGAAAGACAAAGATTAAGGATTCTATATGTATACTATAATAACATAAAAACAAATGTTATCATTGTATTGAATGTAAACAATGAAATATTGTAGAAAAACAGATGTTGACTTTGGAAGCCATATTAATACCAGAAGCTTCCACACTGCCACATTCCTGTGCCTGGGAAATAGGGAGGGGGGATATCATGAAGTGTATGTAGTTAGATATAAATATAATTCTTCTTTTTGGTCAAGGTAATGGTTTTCCTGCACCTGGATGAGGAGTGGTTTAAGGCAAGGGTCAGCAACCTGTGGCTCTGGAGCTGCATGTGGCTCTTTCATCCTTCTGCTGTGGTTCCCTGTTGCCAGTCAGCTCCACAATTGATAGGGCTTTCAAGTAGGATAGGTAGAGGAAAAAAGATGCTGCATTAGGAGGAGACTCTGTGGTGGGGAAACTGGACTTCTGGTCGGCTCCAGAGTTGAACGGGTTAGGGTTAGGACCTTTGTGGCTCTTTGAGTGTTTAGGGTTGCTAACCCCTGGTTTAAGGGATGTCTCAAGTTGAGACAGATGGTGATTGGACCATGTGATGAACTGATGAGTACAGGAGTTGGTTTTGGCTTTTTGAATTACTGAGGGAAAACCTGGAACTCTCAGATTTGGGTTTTCCCAGATGTACCAGTATGACAACACTAATAAAATTGAACTTTGAGAAAATGCCTGTCTCTGAGTTTTTGATTGGAGTTTTGTTTTGTTTTGCTGGAATGCTGACAACAGAATCACAGAAGCCAGTTCTACTATCAAATCCAATACTCTACTAAGAACAGTAATTCATATTAAAATATACCTGACAGAAAACTGTCTAGTTTTTATGTGAATACCTCCAATAAAAAGAATCCTATCACCACTGTGGGTAATCAATTCTATTGACAAATGAATAAACATTTAAAACAGAATGCGTTGTTTGTTAAAGTGTTGTTCTGTCATATCAATTCAGTAGAGCACATCATGGGATACTTACAAATCTTGCTTTGCTACCAGCTTTTAGAACTATATATACACTGATGCACATAAGTACATTAGATCTTTGCAATTAATGGGAAAATCCTATTGTAAAATAGAGATTGACCAGTTTAATGTCTTGTATTATACTCATAAAGTATAGCAGTCTTTACATCTTAGCAGTTTGACATTCAAAATATGACAAAAATTTAATGTTTCTGAAAAAATAAATAATCATATTGAATGCTTAGCATTATTGTGTGATTGGTTACAAACACTTTTCACAGGATGGGAACAATAATGAAAAGGTTTACCTTGGGCAATGCGTGGCTGGCCTATAAAATGGACATAACTGTTCTACCGTAGTTTCACAAGTGATAGCTTGTACTGAAATTAAACAAGAAAAAATGCACACAGATATTTGCTATAAAGAGACTCATCAATATGAATATTCTATCATAAAAATAAATCCGCACCTGTTATTTTAGAGACAGTGAATGAATTAGCCGATTGATATTTCCTAGAGCAAAAACAGAACATACTGTTATTATCAGTAATGCCATTATCTTACAATCTTGTACAATATTTTTGACAAGGAAATAAGAGAAACAAAAAATACAAAAGTGAGAATAATGTTTAATAGGGCTATTCAAATTCAATAAAACTATATAACACAATCTGAATAAAAAACGGAGACAACTGAATTATGATCTAAGAATATGTATGTATGTATGTAAGTGTGTATGTATATATGTATGTATTGCCCATCTCTTATTGTGTAATTTTTTTTCAATGTAAACCTTTGTATTTATGCTATTAGTATTACTATTATACAACAGCTATCATAAGAAATACAGTGGAACCTCGGGTCGCGA